CTCTCTCTGTCTCTTTCTGGTTGGGTCTGGACTCCGTGCTATTCCTCCACCTTCTCCTCCTCTTGGGCAACCCTGTCTGACCGCCTGCTCCTCTGTGCTGCCCGTCTCCCTCTCGTCCTGACCCCAAACTCCCCACCACCATCTGTCCCCAACGCCTGTTCTCAAATCTGTTCTCCACCCCGGGTCTCCCACTGTGCCCCATTTCTCCCCTGCTCCTGCGGCCCTGTCTTGGGTGGCTGATCACCCCCACCCCCACCCCCACATCACCCCCGGCTCCCTCCTCTCTCTCCTTTCCCTTTGGCCTGCTTCCCATCGCCCTCTGCCTTGTCCCGGGACCCCTGTCCCTTCATCCACCCCTCTGCTGATACCTTTTTCCTCCTGCTCCCCACTCTCCGCCTGCCCTCCACTGCTCCTTCCTCCCCATCTGCCTCCCCTCCTTCCCATCTGTCTCTCCCTGTCCTTCCATCTGTCTGTCCTCTGTCTGTCCTCCCTGCCCTCTTTCCCGCCTCAATCCTGCTCCTTTCTCTTCCGCCTGGCTCTTACCCACCTGTGCCGCCTCTGCCCTCCTGGGTGCTCCCTGCCTCTGGGCTTTGGCCTCCTTGGCTCTCCTCTCCCATTTCCTCTCTCCTGCTCTCTGTCCCTGTCTTTACCCACCCTGACTGCGCTCATGCCTCCTGGGCATCCTTGACCCTTCCCTTCTGGCCCGTCTCCCACTGTTGTCCTGTCTGTCCTTTCCCGCCACCGCCCCCGCCTGCCCCGCCGGCCCCAGGGGAAGCACTGCATCCTCGATGTCTCGGCCAATGCCGTGCGGCGGCTGCAGGCGGCCCACCTGCACCCTATCGCCATCTTCATCCGCCCCCGCTCCCTGGAGAATGTGCTGTGAGTATGGTCCAGGGGTGCCCCCTCCACGCCCCCACACCGCAGGCCCCGGCCTTCAGAAAGCCGCTCCTTGACCTGCCCTCTCAGAACCCCTGATCGCGACTCCGGCAGCCCTTGAGAGGGGGATCTATGCAGAGAACTGGAACCCAGAGGAGACGGGGAATCCCAGCCTGCCTTTGCACCCCTGCTTTGGGCTAGGCTGGACTACAACTCCCAGCAGCCCTTGGGCCTCAGACTGGCTGAGCTGTCAGGACTTGGGGCCCTGGGCATTAGTGTCTGATGGAGCAGCTGTACTGGCTGGGTGGGTTGTGGATGGGGAGTCATCTGTGGCTCCAGGGGCTGTTGGGAATTGTATGTTGGTGTTTCTGTGTGTTCCGAATAAGAAGACACTGCTCCACCACCCCAACTTGCTTGGAGGGGGGTGGTAAAAGGCAGGCTGGGCCCCCGATGAGTGCCCTGGGCTCCCTGTCTCTCGACAGAGAGATTAACAAGAGGATCACGGAGGAGCAAGCTCGCAAAGCCTTCGACAGAGCCGCCAAGCTGGAGCAGGAGTTCACCGAGTGCTTCTCAGGTGCGCGTTTGAGAAAGGTGGATGGCTTGAGAACGGGCCCCGCTGGGTGGGTGCAGATCCACGGGTGCACGGTGGGGGCACCCCCTCGGCCAAAAGTCCTTACCCACCCGCCCGCCTGCAGCCATCGTGGAGGGCGACAGCTTCGAGGAGATTTACCACAAGGTGAAGCGTGTCATTGAAGACCTCTCAGGACCCTACATCTGGGTCCCAGCCCGAGAGAGACTCTGACCCTCCCTGGACTCGCCTGCCTCCACCACCCGGGCCCCTGGTCTGGACTGAACCGCCTACGCCCTTCGTGCCCCCACCCCCGCCTCCTTCCACCCCTTCTTATTTATTTCCTTTCTAACTGGATCCAGCCCACTGGAGGGGAAAACCCCTCTGCATGTACCCTGCACCCCAGAGCCGGGCTCCTGAACCCCAGGAACCTGGGGTCTGGTGGGGAGCCAGGCTTCTGGCCCCGAGCCTGTGCTCCTCAGGACGCCCACCCTGCCCGCCCCCAACGCACAGACAGACCCACAGGGGGCCGCCCACCTCTCCCCCATCTTCTCCCACACACTCCAGAAGTCAGCTCCCCCACCCCACCCCCCGCTACTGAGCGCCCACTGCAGGGACGCAGGCTGCAGGCCCCCACTCTCCTGAGACAGGGTCTGGGGGTCCCCCCTGCCCCCATCATAATTCCCCATACCCCTGAGTTCTCATTTATTTTCACCATTCCCCCCCTCAAAGGTGGTTTTTTTGGGGGGATACGTGGGGGGACTCCACTGTGGGCCCCCTGCCTTCCACATGCCCCCCCACCTTTTTTCTTTGCTGGTTTGCATGAGTGGAAGGTTTAATTGTGGCTTTTTTTTTTCCCTTCCTGGGATTTTTTTCTTTTTCTTTTTTTTTCTCTTTTCTTTATTTTTTTTTGTTTTTGGGGAAAGGGGAGGGATAGGTCTATGGAGTGGGGAATGTGGGGAGGGGGGTGGGGGGGGACCAGGGGTCAGGGGCAGGGGTCTGGGAGCCAGAAGACGATGGAAACGCTGCCGCCTTCTGCAATGTATTTATTTTCTTCTTTTGAGAGTGCGAAAGGAAGAGGTGGATAGTTGGAACTCTGTGTGTGGCCTGGTTATTTGGGGCCCCCGGTGTGGGGTGCGGGTGTGGGGCTGGGACCGGCAGATGGGACTTCAGCCCCATGCTGGAGAAGAGAGGTGACTTGAAGGGGCCCCGGGGGCCCCTGTGAATCAAGGGTATCAGGTTGTTGGGGGGCAGAACAGGTGTGGGAAGGCCGGCTCTGTTTAGAGGTCTCTACCGACCAGAAAGAGGGGCCCTTCTTGCCACTGTATCCCCACCTTGACCGCTCCCTGGATGGACGGACTCTCCTGTTGGGAAGCAGAGCCTCTTCCAACAGGAAATGAGGAACCTGCATGTTCATGTTCCTGCACTTGTAGCCAGTGCCTGACCGGAGCTGCCTTTTGCAGAGGCTGACCGACCGAGACACTGAAGAAAGGCCGAGCCTTCTGCCAGCTAGTCCATTCGGACTCCTAAGGACCCTCAAGGACTGGGTAGAACTGCCTCTGGGTCCCTGAGACTAACTCATGGGAGTAGGACATCTCCCTGTTCCCCGTGGAGGAGCGGCTGGTGGGCTCAGACTGCAGGCCTTGAGATGGACAGCCTGGTGCTTCCCCACTGCCACCTGGGCCCTCCCTGAGGTCCTGCGTCAGCATGGACTGAGTGGACAGGACGCGAGGAGGATCTGGCTCAGCCTGAGGGTGGGAAAGAGCCTCCGGATTCGAGCAGGAACCAGCGCGCCGGTTAGGCAGGGCCCTGATCTCTGTGCTTCCTGCGTGGGAACCAAGGGGGAGATGGCCATGGCCCAGGCCTTGACGCCAAAGGAGGAGGAATTCCAGTCCCTCATGAAGGCCCGGCTCCTCAGATGCAGCCCTGTGGGACCACGTGGCCGTGTCGCTGTTCATGTGCAGGACACTTGGGTCCTGAACGTCTCAGCTGGGCTGGGATGCGCCCCTGGGGAGGAGTCGTTGCTGAGTCCGGAGCATGCGAGAGGGGCGGTTTTTGTAGCTGCCAGCAGCCAAGAAAGACCCTCTCAGAGATTCTGCGGAGGGCTGGTGGCTCCGGCCTGGCCTGATCAGACCCGAGGACAGAGCTCCGAAAGCCGGTCTCTTAAGCTTACGCTCTTCCCCGGGGGACTGCTCTGCGTGGGTGTCTTGGTGGTTCCACTGGCTCCTGGGCGGGGCCCAAACCCTGGGTGCCGAAGCACGGTTTGAGAGGATGCTTGTCAGAGGTTGTAACCCCCCCTCTCAGCTTGGGTTGTGCTTAAGAAGCAGATGGTTTGAGGCTGTGCGGGTGTGCGGCTGTTTTCCAGCGTTGGCTGAAGGAGACCACCTGTGAGCTGAGGAAGATGTGCAGGTACCATTTCTGGATTTAAGGCGTGAGGGAAGCTAGAAGGGGTTGAATTGCTTGAATCCCCCTCGCTCGATGTCTATGTCGTGTATATTTACATGTATGAAACAAAACATGGACCTTAGCAAAAGTTCAACACAACATCTAAGGTTACAAAAGCGTTCTCCCTATCCCATCCCTCACCCCCTGCGGGAAGCTCGGTCGCAGTGGGATGGCGCTCTTGGTCTACCGATCCACGGAGCACTTCCCTGGCCATGTAAGGTGCTTCCGTGCTCAAGAGCTGGCTTCCCAAACAGACTTGGGTTCAGATTCTGCCGCCTCCTCTCCATTTTTTCTGGCAAAGACAATTTGATTTTCTGTAGTGCAGGGCCTCGTTCTCAGTGCGGGGAACACAGTGTTCCTGCCCGCACGTGGGGGTGCCAAATGATGGAGTTCATTGTCAGATGCCTGGGAGTGCTCTCTAGAAACCGCTGGGGGGAGAGAAGTCCGAGCTGTAGCAGCGGGGGTGGGCGTGGAGAGGCCCCACCAGAGCCCGGCAGGGCAAGATGAGGGTGGAGGGATCGTGCAGGTGCGAGAGGAGTGGCCAGGTGGGAGTGCGTTTGAAGGACAGAAGGCAGTTGGTGGGCCTGGGGTGGTGTGAGATGGTCAGGTGGGACGGTGTGCAGTGTTGCGTTATGGTCAAGGGCGGAGGGGAGGGGGGCCAGAGCACTTGGAGGGAGCGAAGTGACGGGGGTGCAGTGTTCCTCTGAGGAGCCACATTGAGGCTGTCAGCTCCTGTGACAGCTTACAGCCTCAGACGCCCTCAGACACCGCTCCGCTGGGTTCTGCAGGGTCGCGGTGAGGCAGAATTGACTTGGCTGGTGGCAGTGGGTTTCAGGTTAGTCTGCTGAGACAGTGGTTCAGCACGAACTACTGAGCTGCTAACTACAGGGTAGGTGCTTCAAGCCCACCAGGCATTCCGTGGGACAAAGACGTGGCAGTGTTGGAAATGTTACGGGGGAAGTTCTGTCCCATGGCGCTGTCAGAAGTTGGATTAGATGCCACAGCAACAGATTGGGAGTTTTGGTTTTCAGGGTCCTCGAGGTCTGCAGTGCAAAGCCCCTAGGCGCCTAGCGCGAGGAAGATGGGGCTTTCTACTGCTCTGGTCCATCTCAACACGCATATCCTGTTCGTTCATGGGCAGCACAGGCCACCCCTGTGAAGCCAGAGCCCGGCCTCTCCGTCTCCCTGCCCTTGTGTGCAGGCCCTGGTTTGAGCAATCTGCTGGGGCCAGGCCCTCTGCAGGTCCTCTGCGGGGCTTGGGGTGTGGTCCCAATTCTCCAGGTCTGGCACTATGAAGTTTCTGTGGCTCCGGGCGGCCCGAGGCACGTGGGCAGGCAGTTCTGGGGACCTGTTGGTGAAGACAGATCAGCCCTTGAAAACCTTACAGTGGCATAGTTCCACTCTGATGCTTAGGGTTACTGCGAGTCAGGGAGAGGCCTGCTCAGAAGCACTCAGGGCGGTGGCCAAAGGATAGGATTACTCAGCTTTTAGGCCGCCTCCATTCGGGACTGGGGGGTGGGGGAGGTGGGGCGAGGTGGAGGGGGCTGCATGTGCTGAGCTACCAGCCAACTCCGGTTTGAGCTCCGTGCCAGGGAAGTTGCTAACCATCCGATGGAGTAGAGAGAGAGAGATGCTCGCGTCTCTCCTGACTGGAACCTTCCTCCTTCCCCGTGCCTGGCAGTTATAACTCAACTCGTACTGCTAATGATGACAGGGAATGTCACGGCAGCTAGCACCCACTGGGCATTTAGCAAGCGCCAGGCACTTGGGCTAAGCATCTCTTACTCTCTCGTTTGACCCGAACAGCTCTCAGAGTGGACACCAAGCCCGCTTTCCCATGTGGTTAAGCTGATGCTGGACTCCAGGCCCTTGCTGCTGTGCCAGTCTTGGGCACCCCAGCCCTCCCCATCCCTCCCTGAGACCTCAGCCTGCAGGTACCTCCTTCCTTCTCAGCAACCAGATGCGCTCTCCTGCCAGCTCCTCCTCTTGGCCGGCTTCTCCGGCCCAACCAGCCAAAGGACTGCTCCCCCTCCCTGGCTCACTTGCTCCCCTCTCCCAGACTCTGGCAGCCTTGAACCTGGCCCAGAGGGCTCCACAGCTGCCCCACTTCCTGACTGAAAAGCAGGTGGTCGTGGGGTTATTTCTCCTGCCCCCCTCACAGGGATAGCACTGCCCTGGGCTGCTGTTTCCCATCGAGGCCTCTCACTGAGCGGATTTCTCACAGGGACTGCTCAGCTCTGCCTGTGGTGTCTGCAGACCAGCAGTCCCTGCTGATTCCAGACCCTTCTCCAGCAGGCGTTTGGACCCTGGTCAGGGGAACCCCTCCCAATTCCCTTGGCCTCTCCACACATTCATCTGCACCTTCAGTTGCCAGGTCCACTCCACCCCACTCCGAAGTGCTTCGTTCTCTCCCTCTCTCTGGCCTGAAGCTTCATAGTCACTCACCGGGACCAGTACCGCTCCTTCCCGACTGGCCTGCCTACCTCTGACTCGGCAGCTCATCACGGACGGGCCATTGTCCAACACGGATCTGGTGTTCCCATCTTGCTTGCATCTCTTTATGGGCCCCCAGGACTATAGTGGCAGTCTGAACTTTGTGGATCAAATGCCCCCATTGGTAAAATGTTTTTCAGCGTGTTTGTTAGTCTGGGTAGACTAGAAAAACAAATTCATACACTCTCACGTGTGTATAAGAAAGAGCTTTATATAAAGGGTAATTGTACATTAAGAAACCATCCCAGCCCAGTCCAGATCAAGTCCATAAGTCCGATATTAGCCCATATGTCCAATAGCAATCTACAAAGTCCTCTTCAGACTCACGAAACAGATACAATGGCGCTGAATGCAGGAAGGTCACAGGCCAGTGGGTGGGAAGTCTTGTGGATCCAGTGGTGGCGTAAGCAGCTCAGTACTGGCAGGGGTCTCCATGTGGTTTCTCCAGCTCAGGGCACTAGTGTAGCTCCATGTATCTTGTCAGCTGCAATGTCTCCCAGGGGGTGAGCTGAGAGAGAGAGAGAGAATGCCTCTCCTGCCTCTAAGGAGGAAATACAGGAGTTCCCAGAATCCTCAGGAGAAAGCCATGCCCACACAGACCTGATTAACAGGCTAGACGCCACCTCCTTACTCTTAATCCTCTCGACTTGACAAAGGGTGATGTAACTACCACAGCGTGTGCGCCCCGATTCCATGCATATTTAACAAAAACATGCAAGTGTTGTGGAGCCCATTCTGACTCTTGGGGACCCCATGGGTCAGAGCAGACCTGTGCTCTGTAGGGCTTTCGGTGGCTGAGTTTTTGGTAGTAGATGGCCAGACTTTCTTCTCAAGGCACCTCTGGGCGGATTTGAACCTCCAGCCTACTGGCTAGCAACCAAGCACTTAACTCTTTTGTGCCCCATAAGGGCTCCTAAATGAAATATTGGAGGTTTCAGCCCACCCAAAAGTACCTTGGAAGAAAAGCCTAGCAGTTTACTTGCAAAAAAAAAAAAAATCA